TAGTAATGCAGAATACTCACATATTATTCCACTGTTCTACCAGCCATCGTTAGCGCTTGCTGTTCTGAGAGACTCATAGGCCAATGTAAAACTTCCCACAGCTTCATCCTTTCCCAAAGGCTCGGGACATGGATCCCCCTCCAAGCCCATTCAGCCTGATGGATTAAATTACTGGGGTGGTAAACCAGCCATCTTTTTTCTTCCTTGGTTGTTACTAGAAGCTTCTTAGCTCCTATGGTACCCTGCATTTTTTGTCACATTGTCACCTCTGTCCTCTCAGCAGCAAGTATATATTGTAGCCTGAGCTTGACATAAGCTGTCTGATTTCTCCTTCTGCCATGTCTTCTGTTCCTAGTCTGAGAAAATCCTCTAATGTTAAGAATCCTTATCAAAGCCCGGGGAAGGTTAGAGTAGGGTTTTGGTGCATGCCTATAATTCCAGCATGTGCAAGGTGGAAGCAGTAAGATCATTTTAAGTTTAAGGCCAGGGTTATATGAGACCCTACCTCCAAAACAAACACACAAACAAAGAGTTCCTAAAGACTCAGAGCTGCAGCTCAGTGGTAGGACACATGCCCTGCATGGTGAGGCCCTGGGTTCAATTCCCCATAGTCAGGAAACAAAGGTAACACCTACAAAATACCTTTAAAATTTCCCTTCAGTTGGCTGAGTAACTCATACTTAAAGTCTCAACACTAGGAAGGATGGGCAGAAGGATTGCCATGAGTTAAAGACCACTCTGGGCCATATAGCAAGTTCCAAGATATTCTAGGCAACTTAGCTAGACTCTAACTCTAAATAATTACTTTAAATCGCTGGGGATAGAGCCCAGTGACAGAGATAAAGTACTTTCTTAGTGTATACAAGCTCTATGTTCAGTCATCAACATGGAAAATAATAAAGACATGGAAAATAATAAAGACATTCAAGGTGTATGTATTGACCTCTGTGGAGACCTTTTATCATTAAACTATGAAAATAAAATGGTAGATTAAGAAATGAAAAAAATATATCCTGTGGAGAACTGTTGCTCTGCAGAGTGGTTTGTATAAACAGAAATTCATTGTACTTCTGGATTTATTCTACTGCCGTGTTATTTGAAGATATCCTAGCATAGAATTTAGCTCCTCGTACCAGTGACAGAAATAATCATATGTACATATAATCATAAAACTGTATATACATGAGGATTATGTAAGGTTAGATATAGATAATTTATCTATGCAACAAAAATATGGGTCAGTTTTGGATTCATGTATATATTACATAAAAACATACACCTACAGACTCACACTATATTATATGTGTGCATACACACACACACACACGCACACACATTTTATTTCCTTTTCTTTAGACCACAGTAAGCCTCTGAACAGCAACTTCTCCAGGAGAGGGTAGCAGTAGCATAAATTTAAAGTGAAGAGATATTTATGTTGAGGAAAAGATCCAGAATGGTGTTAATGGAATGATACAGGCTTGCTTTAAACCATTTGATTCATGCTCCAAATTCACTGGAGTGTAATTTGGGAATATAGAAAATTATGGCAGATTAATTGTATGTTCACCAGTCACCAAGTGTTCACATGCTTGTCTGACTATCAGATTTTAAGCAATTCTTGAAATGAATGGGTGCCTCTATACTAGAATGATTTTGAAGTATTTTCATCATGCACAGAGGATTTATTTTCATTTCATATAAAAGCAATGGCTTTCCACAAGTTAAGATATGTAACATTTTATTTTAACTACCTGAATTTTTATACAAAAATACTATTTTACTATTTAAGAAAGGAACTCATGTCATTTAACTGCAATCTTTAACCTTAACTGCGTCTGAAAAATCCTTTTTCAAATGCAATTATAGGCTCTAGGGATCAGCACATGAATGTCTTTAGGAGCTATTCTGATATCATACTGTGAAAATACAAAAGGTTTTCTTAGTTATTTTTTGATCACTCACTAGGATTATATTATTAAAAAAATATAATGGTTTAAATAAACTATATTGCTAAAGTTGATTTACCTGTTTCTGATCTGCTGGAATATTTTGATTTTCACATATGACTCATATGGGTGCCTTGCACCACACTTTTATTTACCAGTATGGTCTAGAACTCAAGGGTTTGAGAGCAGTAAAATTCTCCTTAACCTCCCCCTCAGATTCTGACATTCTCTCTGGAGGTCTGTGTCTTCCATTGGAAATAGTTCCCTCACAATGTTGTCTGGCTTTACACTTTCAGGTTTTTGAAGAATAATCACATTGTCTTAGTTACTTTTTTTTTATTGAAGTGAAGAGACACCCCAACCAAGACAACTTATAAAATAAAGTATTTATTGGTACTCATGTTTCTAGAGGGCTAGATTCCATGATCATCATGGTGAAAAATGCAGCAGCTTGTAAGTAGGCACGGTACTAAAGCAGAGGCTAAGAATTTACATCGTAATCAGCAAGCTGAAGACAGAGAGAAAGCTAACTGAGAATGGTGTGGACTTTTGAAATCTTAAAGTCCATCCCAGTGACACACTTCCTCCAACAAGGCCACACCTATGTCAACCAGGCCACACTTACTACTCCTTCCTAAACAGTTCCACTAACTGGTGATCAAGTATTCAAACATCTCAGTCTGTGTGGGCCATTATCTCTTTCAAACCGCCTTACAAAGCAAAACATAGTACAAAAGAAAACTCTTCTTTCATATACAAGATACCCCACAAGCCACAGTATGAAGAAGCAGGCATAGAGTGTCTCTTCTGAGAGAGAAGGTGGGGAGCACCACATCCCTTCCTAAGAATGCTAGTTACTACTGGCCTCCTCCATGGAACCAGGGCTGTTTTAGTTCATGTTTTGATTGTCAGTATTGGCACATAGAAGGCTCTTCTAGTGAACGTCTACTTAGCCAACTGATTCCAGGTGCCAGTTATGGCTCATTGAAAGAAATAAAAAGCAGTTTTGGAAGGTAAAACATCTACCCTCCTCCAATTTCCTAACAATGATAAACATTTCCAAACGATGGGGTAGGCAGTCTCCATTTGGAGCTGTAAACTGAATACGCAGTGGTCGTATTTTTATGAGTCAAGAGAGTGTGCTGGTTCTGGGGGTAAAAAGTTCTTTAGCAGATGAACATTCTGATTAACCAAGTGTTTTTATTGCTGTGCTTTATCTGGCTTTTGTGATTAAGCCAGAAAACATCAAACCTGTGACTGTTGTCAAAATAAAATTTTAAAAATGTTTTCTGGATATACCACTTTGTGTGGAGTTTAGTTTATGTGAGTTGATAGTCTCGTGACGCTTAATCTAGTCCTCCCAACACTCAGTGAGCTAAAGGGCCTGGCTGGAGCCATGTTTCGGTTTCTTGGATGTACCAGGCTCCCAGCTGGAGAGCTGACCCTGTGACAGTGGACAAAAATCTGTGACTCTTTCCAAGTACATCAGCTACCTAGGATAAGGACCCTCTGCGGAAAAGTTAGAGGTACTGAGAAAGCACAGCCTTCCTGAAGGTTCTCTCCTGCCAGACATTACCCTGGGAGAATAATAAAATAGATTCATTCTACCTAGCCTCTCTCCCTGTAATCCTCCTGGTTCCAAAGAATGCGTGCATCAATAAAAAGATTACACAAATAAACATTTAAAAGATAGTTTGCTAATTGGAAGGATTGATAGGCAAGATGAAGCATTCTTCAAAAAATCTATTGTCATGCCTTTCTGGACTTTATTGCTTACCAGCACTTTTTCCCCCTCAAGAAAAACAAAATAGCAACATTTGTTCAGGAAAAAAAAGCCAACTGTTTCTTCCTTTCTTATTACTTTTATTGTTTGAGGTTTCTTTTAGACTATAATGTGGCATTGTGATTTTGAGATGGAGAAGAAGTCCCTTGTCTTTCAAACATAAGAATGTGATTGTGTGCTATTGTTGCCAATGATGAGCTAAAGAGGTTAATGGATCACAGGGCTGGCAAAGAGCCATCTCTCCTACTGCTCCTTATATTACACAGTATACATGTGGCTGTTGCTGCTGAGCTTACGATTTTTGTCTGAGGAGGTGGTAAATAAGTTTATGGAGATTTAACTTATTTCTTCTAAAACTCAACAGCTCTTCCCTTCAGGCTGACAGCTTAAAAATGTAGGTTGAGATCTGAGCCCATTTTCTTTTGAGGTGATGGTAAAAATGGGTCCAGGAAAGGAGGTGAGGCCGGCTTCTGAATGAGAATCCAGAAATACTGTGTCTAATGGATGGCAGCCGACCTTTCATTTCCAGGCAAAATTAACACAGTGCAGTGGCCACAATAGGAAGGGCGGATATGGGAGAAGGCACAATTCTTTCTTGTGTTGCTGCGGGTGATCACCCTCATAGCACTAATTAAGTGAACCAGTCCTCTCTGCTGCCCCCAGATGGTTTCAACTTTGAATGTTATGACTGTCATCTGAAAACAGACAAGCTCCCCTGAGCAATAACACTGTGGTCTCTTCCTAAAGTGCTTGTCCATTTGTGCTATGAAAAGTATACAAGAGACGGACTACCTCTACAGAAAGAACCGGGGAAAGAAGGGATGAAAGGAGAAAATATGTTTGATTGCTTGTTCAGGCAACCCCAGTAAGAGGGGATGGTAACTTTATATGCCAGAAGGACCATTTTCTTGTAATTGTGGTTAGGCAGGGATGCGGTCTGAGAACTAGAATTAAAAGAAAAGCAGCACAGATCATTTTCCTGGTGAAATCCCTTCCGCTCGGCAAAGGCACTGAAATGTAGCAAATACAATCATTCCCTGGCCTGCTGTTCTGCTGAAGGCAAGGAGTGGGACAGGGCGACTAAATTGGAAAGGTGAGTGTGCTTTCAAACTGGGCTTTCAAACTCCAGACCCACAAGAAGACTGAGCTCTGGGCTCCTTCCTCTTCCTAACTAGGCTATGATCGCCCCCTGTGACTCTGAAGGCACACAGCAGCCCAAAGCGCGGCGGTGGCTGACGCCACCAGCCCCTCCTGGCCTCCAGCACTCTCACCTGGCATACTGAAGTCAACGTGGCCTCTCTGGGCACCTGTGTGCCCCCTTTCACGCTCTGGGTCTAGCTCTCCACCACCACAGCAGAGAGATCTGTCTGGCTCAGCTCCTCAGACACTGGGTCCCTTCCACATCTACGTATCAGATCAGTGTCCTGCCATCCCAGTCACCTCTGCAGGTTCTCAAAGCTGTGGTCTTAGATTGCTCAGGATCCCTGACCACCCATCTTGCAGCCACACTGTGATAGCCAAAGCTTCCCGCCCCGGGTGGGACATACAGTGTACCAGCCTCACGTCTTCCACCTCCGGGTATGTCCTCCTCCTCCGGCTTCACCCCCTAAGACCGAGCCCAGCCCCCTTGACGCTGGGGGCTCCAGTGAGTGAGCCCACCTCTTAGCCAGACACCTGCTCTCCTTTCCCCACCCTTTTCCTCCTCCGCCCTTTCCTCTAGGTCTCTCCGCCGCCCTAGCGAGCACAGGAGCGGCCACTGGAGGAGGAGCAGAGGGAGGAGGGGAGCGCAAGGAGGAGAAGGGGCGGGGTGGGTGGGAAGAGAGCCGGGAGGGTGTGGACTGGCAGCCACTCTGCAGCTGGTCGCCCGGGACCTGGTCCCTCCCGCGAGCCGAAGTGATGGAGGGGAAGATATCCTCTTAGACACACTCGCGCGCGCGCGCATCCAGCTGGGCACGTCTCCGGGAGGCAGCAGCCGGCTGGAGCGCCGGGGACCGGGCGGCGGCTGTGACAGCGCGAGCGGCAGGGAGTCCGCGGTCCGCACAGCTTGGCACCGGCCGCAGGAGGACGCAGGGAGGGAAGATCACAGCCGCACTGACTGTTGCTCTTTTGAATGCATCCCGAGGGACCGAGCTTCCTGACATTGTCACCGCGGACGCCAGAGGCTCTGCCCCTCGCGTGCGGGATCCCGGTCTGCGCCGGTGCCTGTGCGGGGAGAGGAGGATGCGAACCTCCTCCCGCAGAGCTCCTGCGGTCCCCTTAGCTACGCGGACTCGGGCTCCGGCGGCTGCCCCTGACGTGTCTGCAACGCGGGAGCGCGCCCTGCCGCACCTGGCTCCAGCCTCCCGGGCAAGTGCGCGAAACGCGCCCTAAACTCCACTACTTCTCGCCCCCTCCGCTCGTCGTTCCCAGCCCCGGACCTCGCTGCCCCCGCTGTCGCCGCCCCAGAGTGGGAGCCCGCCCTCCCCGCACTCACGCGCGGCTACTGCGCTGCTCGCCGGCTCTCCTTGCCCGCTCACTCACGGCCCAGACACAGAGCCAGAGCATCCCAAACTACGGGACAACTGCCACTGCGACCGCAGGAACGTCCCGGTGACCCGGCCCTACTACTACTGGTCGGGGTCACCGCTCCCAAGCTGCGGTCCGCTCCAAGGCTGTCGCCACTGGGGATGACGGTGAGTGATAAGGGCGCGCTGCCCGCCTTGCGCGGGAGAGAGGGGAGAGGAATCGCGGCTCGGACCTTCTAGGTTTGGGGGGAAATGAGAAGGGGAATCGCCTAGAGGAGGCATCCCTCTGTCTGAAGCACTTTGTGGGGCGCGGTTTTCCTAGGCGCCTCCTGGGGAAGACTTTGAGCCAAACCCCCTTTGCTGGGGTTGGGGTTAAACTAATGGGACAAACGAAGCAGTGGGAGCAATTGCTTGAGTGAATTTAGACTGTCAGTCGGCCTCCAAGCTTGTCTGCCTGCCCGCCCGCCAGGCTGTCTGTCTTCCCAGAGACCTACATCCAGCGCTCTCCCAGAGTCAGATGGAGAACTCCCTTTCACTGATGATCGCTCAGCAGAGTTTAGGGGTTCGCGCTTGGCCACTTCTGGGGGTGATTGTATACTGTCATTTGGAGTTATATGGTAGCTTTAAGGGTAATGCGATGCACTGAGGCCAGAGCAAAAGGCAGAGAGAGTAGGCAGAAGTTCCCTTGGTGGACATGGGTGCCTTCTCTTTGGAGAAGACCCCCCCTCCCCCCAACCACTCCTAGAGTCATTTCCCACTCCCTGGAGCTTCACTTAGCCCAACCTTTCCCTCTCACACCCAGCACAAAACACACACACACACACACACACACACACACACACACACACACACACACACGATGGGTACAACCTTGAGGGGGATATCAAATTATCACTAAGAGGTCTGCAGCCGCTGTGACCCACTGCAGCGCCGACCCCCGCCTTTGGGACTTAGAACACACAGGATCTAACAAGGAAGGAAACCCCGCCCGCTGTGGATGACTTTTCTCGGTTCCAGGTGCACACCAAGCAAACCTCTAGGACTCTGCTCCTGAGTCATTTCAGGAGTATGACAGCGCTACTCTGCTTTCAGGCTTCCCACCTTGAGTGCATCCACCCAAGCAAGCTACTGCTGGAATATGTGTGGTCTTTCATTCTTTCGTGCCCCCGCTTCTTTGCTCTCTTGCTCTTTCCTCTCTCCTCTGCCTCTGTCTCTCCGTCTCTGTCTTTCTGCGTATCTCTCTGGCTCTCTGTTCTGTTATTTCATGGAGAAGACTAGTCTCTTAAGGGGACATTTAATGTTTGGAAAGTACTTTATATCATATTACTTCGTGGATACATTTAACTGCCCCCGTGACTCTTTTCTGATTTATGTCAGCTGAACCTGATAAAGAGTATGCAGGGTCTGGGGTGGGAACAATATGGGCAGACATCCTCTGGGTGACACTGCTCCTTTCTCAACTGAATTGCTGTCAGTCATAAAAAGTGAGTGCCTCTAAAGGGTTTCGTGCAGTGTTCTCTACATATTTCAGAGCTTTGGACAGGTGTTTTTATGGCACAATTCAATTGAAACGTATCTGTCTCCTTTTCCAAGGAATTGCTGAGACTGATAAAAAGCAATTTTACCAAACTTAGTTATCAAATATAGCTGTTTAAAAGTCTTTTATTGCTATTTATTACAATACATCTTAAAGTGACCTTTGTCCTTCCTTTTGTGATTTTTTTTCTCTTTATTCTTAAATTAGTGAAGTTCTTAGCAGGAGATATAAAACCTCTTTCCTTGTCTTTTTCACTGTGCTTGTTTACAAACAGTGCTGTTGGAAGTGACTGGGTCAGTTGAGACAGGCTTCTCAGGGAAAAATCAAGCTATTTGCCAGTGAACTGTGCTAAACGTAAGGCAATGAGACAAGACACAAGAGTGGAAAGGAAACCATTGTTTACACGTAACTATCTTCACTGCAGTGTGCTAACTGTGGTAAGAATAACAGTTCTGGCCTCTGCTAAGTTACCCTGGGCTAGATAAATATCTTTCCTCAATTAATAAAATAGAAACAGGCATCATTACTCATGCAAAATATTTTCAAATAGATATAACTAAACAACTTATGAAGGGAATTATGGTCAGAGTGTTCAGTCACAGCCGGGACTGGGTCCTGGTTTCTAGGAGAAACCAGACCTCATGCTTAGTGCTTCAAGTGGCTCCCTCTGACATCTTTGTGAGGAGGCTGCGCTCAGTGTTTGGAAGAGACCTTGCCTTCACCATCCTTACCGTTTTGCAGGCATACACAGACGTTTTTGAATGAATAACTTTCCTCCTCGCTGAATTTGTACTCATTCAAGAAGTCATTCTTGAGCACATGAGCGCACACAATAAGTGTAGCTGGGCTGGAGTGTTATTTAAGACAAGGAAGGATTATTACTAGAAACGGGGTGTTTGCTCCTACTCTGGGTGAGTGGAACTGCAGAGCAGTGTCTTTCTGAAGAAAGCAGTGTCATCCCCAAAGTAGATGATCCACCAACAAAGAGCTGTTGACTTCAGGAGTCACAGGAGGCATTAAAGTATCTAACTCTGTTTTCCACCCAAGTCCTGCCATTATTTTTAACCCACATGTCATTTAGATGACTCAACTTCACAGAACTGATGTTGTCTCTAATCTGACTGCTTGTCGGAGTTCTTAGAGCCAGTCGTGAATCTGCACTGGGTCTCATTTCCAGCTCTGTCTTTCTGTGCACTTCTATGGAGCAGCACCAGATCTCAATACATCATTAGCATTCACTTATGAATAAATGCAAATCTTCCTGTTGCCTCAGAAAAGCAAACCTGAATCCATAGAACACTGTTTTGCTTCCTCATTTCCTCATCCCTGTATTTTTCTAATCTCAGCAACAGTAACATTTCTTAATAATGCAATTATATGCAAATGAGGAAGTTAACAAAAATGATTGTTTAGGTTCTCTTTTAGAGGAGAAAATGGAATTTCTTATGAAAATTTTAGTTAGGGAGAATTTTTTTCACTCTCTTGTAATATCTTGGCAGGATGATTTTTTTTATGGTAGTGGCCTTCATTCATGAATAAAATAACTCTTGTAAAAGACGCTATTTATTGGTGAGGAGAGTGCTTGCTCAAAATGACTGTAGCATGTTTAGGAATATAATATGAGCTGTAACACTAGGGTGTGCAACTGAAATTGTATAAGTATTTACATATTTTATATACCTTACAAACATAATTTTACATTTCTGTGCAATATTTTATTATAATAGTTCAATATTGTAATTGAGTAGTTACTGTTTGGTAATGGAATTATATTTTAAGAAAAAGTGAGTGTTGTGGAAAGGGGAATAATTGCTCAAGTCACAGGTTTATCTTCAAGCCCTGTCTCCTCTCTTACTGAGGGTGCCAACGCAGAGGAAAGTCGAAGCCGGAATGACTTGCTACGTTTCCATCATGGACTGGAATGCTGCTGTTTAGAATAGTAGAATACTTAGATTTTCCCATCAACTTACTATGAAGTCTTTAAAGCAAGCAAAGGTGTATTTGTTCTCTTGGAATCCAATTAGTTGTTGCCAAATTTTTCTTTCTCTATAATCTGAGTTTGTTTCTGAGACCCATGATGCAATCCTAACTTCTCCAGCTGAAGTGCGGTTAAAGCACGATGTTAATGGCAACATTTTAAGTCACTGATCAAATACACTTCAAAATAGTTAACTTATCAATTGTCAAAAAAATACATTTGGAAATCCCTCCAACTATTGCACAGGTAAGGATAAACAACCTTTTCAAATCTTACATGCAAGTTTCATTGTCGGCCTTATTATTTATTGATATTTTGTACAATGGACTATTTTCCAATATTTTGAAAAGTTTTATGAAAGAAAACTGTGTCTGTAGTTGGAAGTGTTTGACAAGTTGTTTTTACCAAGTTTTATAGGTAAATATATGCAAATGTATGCATATACATGTGTGCATATGTATATAAAATATATTGGTCATTGTTTATGAATGTAGCTATATGTTATAATCATTGACTAACAGGAGGAGCATCCCTTTGTGACATATGTGATTTGTGAAGTCAGCCTCATCCTTAGAGTGATATGTACAAGTGTTTCCAGTTTGGTATAAGAATTTGGAGTGATAAACTTTTATGAACAATTTGATTAAGCAATACTTATAACAGTCATGAGTGTATAGTTAACACTTTCCTAAATACTCTAGTAATAATGACTCATTAATTTCTGCAGCCTCTCTGTCATGCCCCATTTTACAGAGGGAAAAATACATATTGTTACTATTCCCATTTTGGAGATGAGGATATCGGGGCTCATCTCATTAAATGACAGCCCAATCTCTATAGCTACCAAATGGCGAAGCTGATATTTGATCCAGGCAGCCTTTTAAGCTATTCCACTGTCTTTGAATAGTTTAAGTTACTTAAATAAATTATATGCTTGCTAGCTTTAGTTAACTATACACAGACTAGAGTCACCTAAGAAGAAACCTCAGTTGAAGAATTGTTTCCATCTATTGGGCCTGTGGACAGGTGTATGGGTTATTGTCTTGATTAATGATTGATGTGGGAGGGCCCAGCCCACATGGGTGGTGCCAACCCTAAGCAAGCCAGTAAGCAGCTTCACTCCGTGATCTCTGATTCATTTGCAAAGGTTTTTAACTTAGAGTAAATTCTTCAGAAACTCACAGGAAGGTTATTGTAATGGGACGGTGACATAGACTGAACCTGAGCAGGGCTGGAGTGTGGTACTGCACCTTAATGTAGTTTTTAATGGACTCAATAATTACCTAAGGTTCGGCTACTTTTAAATTAGGTAACTTTAAGAACTGATGCCATACTTAAGCAGTTTTAATAGCATAGATGATCAGACACTGAATGTTTTATGCTTCCCATAATATACCCATATAATGTGAACTTCTTTCACTAAGGTCAATGATATGTGTTACTATAGGGTGCATGCCAAAGAAATCTGAGTTTTATAAAAGGTATGAGATGTAACTTAACTTTGTCCACATCTTCTCCATACAGTAGGCATCTTATTGTTGTTTGCTGCATGAACTGACGCAGGCCATTCCACAAATTGCTTGTCCAAAGGCAAAACAAAAACAAAAACCTTCCAAACATTTTTATACTTACATTGTGTATTTTATAATCACA